ACAAAAGCAAGTGATATAGAAGGCTCAGGAGGAGCAGTTTCTACATCCCTCAAATGAGTTTCCCCGCAGGCTCCAAAAAACACAGCGCAAAGGGAAACATCTGAGAAGAACAGGAGAGCTGCTGACAGATCCACAAAAACCATCTTATGGGCAGCATGTCAGAACAAAAGCTATTCTTCCAATCCATAACCTAGAGGAAGATTCAGAAAGATTGCAGGCCCTCCCCCTCTCTTCTCAGGACTGTCTTAGGTAGAACACAGGGATTTCATTCCTCAATGTCCACACCAGACATCCCAGTAATTAATTCACTGAATTGAGATTTTTCTGGATGTCACCTTTAGTAGGAAGTTCCAAATTTGTTTTAAATCTCAAGAACTGGGAGAGCACAAAGGGGGACACAAGGGAGCAGGACAGGACCAAAAAAAGTGCGTCTCAGACAGAAGATTTTTTTTTTTTTAAACTTAAGTAAGGAAAAAAATTATGACATTTTTATTAAATCAATTATATTTTTTAATTAATTTAAGTGGGCATTTTAAAAGAGATTAAATAATCCAGCCATCCTTTCAAACTACACTCATTTACCTGTTCTTCCTAGACACCCATCACCATAGCTGTCTCCCCTCACCTGTGCATTTGAGACAGCATTTATCCTGGAACAAAAACAATAAAACTCAAGTAAGAGATTTTTAAATGTTAGTAAAACCTTAAGAAAAATTTTAAACATAAATAAAGCTTCTGAAAACGTGAAAAAAACATCCTGAGAAAGTTACTTGTTATGTCATTCCCTTCTAGCCACAGACTAGATGCAAGATCTTCATTTAGTTCATCTTGCAATTAGATCCACAGGGCAGAATCTCTACATTCAAGCAGAATTTCAATTAAGTCAACAGGGACCACCCAGAGATAGAAGTCTGTTCTCCTACAACCTGTAGGATACGAGCTTGGGAACAGTGAAATGCTTTACTGAAAACTTAATTCTATATGATATAACAAGAATATGATATAAAAGGCACCCCAAAGAGTGATAAGGTGACAAAGACAACACTAAAAAGGACATTCTCTGACTAATTGTATCTCTCTAATGTAACCCTTTTATACTGAAAAAGCCAGTGCCATTTACAGGAGTTTTAGGACTCCCCTTCTCGAAATCCCTGCCCCCTCCTCCCCGCAAAGAAGCTGTAGAAAAAAAAATTGTTCCCAATTTGTGTTAATATGAGTTACTGAACGTTACAGTGGGAGTTTTGTTCAAGGAATCCAGATACTAGTGACAGAGAATCACTCGTATAAAAGAAATGCCTGGTTCCTTATACTGAGCCAAGATGCACATCAGTTTTGAAGAATTCAAATTTTAAAACTCTGGAAAAAATAAATTAACTTCTACTAGATAAAGAACAAACAAATACATAAATATATTATATAGAAACAGACCTCTGGAATTATCCAGAAAAAAAATTCTCGCAATCCAAAGTTTGAACACATTGTATATGTTGGTTAAACTGTTGCTTTAAAAATATATTAATAAGCAATTAAAATGCTCTCTTACATGAAGAAGGCAAGTGTAGAAAACACTCCACAGGTATGGAAGGCATGGTTCATTTGTTCTGGTTTAGGGTATACTACTGCAGCATCTATCATTATCCACCAGCCTGTGAAAAACTAGAGTGACAATGAAACTCTCTCACAGTACTGTGAAAACAGAAAGATGTCCAGACAGACAAGATAGCATGCTAAAAATTCAATCCTTTACATACCACTAACCTAGTTCATAAGTATACCTTTCTTTAGCTAAGAATCAGATTCTAAAATTCCTTGATAGATATATAGATATATGTTCTATAAAACTAGGAACTTGAGTAAACCTTCAATATTGATGTTTCCAAAGCAGTATCTGGTATTAGACACTTGTTTTTCATAAAAATTGAAAGAAAACATACGGCTTAGTCTATTCTGAAAGGCAGAACTCAAGTTCTCAATCTATACATGATCTAGCTAGATAAAATATGATTTTATCTTATTATGCTAGATCAGGAGTGGTCAACCTCTGGCTCCTGGTACCATGCTATACAGCCTCCAGGGCTCCTATGGATCTGAGGATCCCCACAGGCTGTGGCCCTATGCAATCAGTCAGGTGGGTAGGGCAACATGGGCCCCCAGAGCCTGATCCCAGTTTATGGGGGCAACACAGGGCCCAATCTGGCCTGCGGACAAACCCTGTACCATTCATTTGGCTTGCAGGCCAAAACCATGAACACCACTGTGCTAAATACCTTCCAGCAATTTGAGCCAATGCTCCCCGCCAGCAAAAACTGTAACAAAAATTTAGCAAATCCAGGTAAGTGGTAAAGCTTTTACTAAATAATGAACATACAAAAATAATGAAGAAACACATTGTTTAAAAAAAAACACAATTAGCACTAAAGTTTAGCAGATTTGATTTAGGAAGCTTTGAAAATGTAAAAAAAGCACCATTGCCTCATTAGCCATACTGACAAATCTGGGCTCGTTCTCTTTTTATACAAATACCTACCAAGACACCTGCAACCACTGAAGCAACTGTATTTCTTCTTTCGCTCCAATCGATGCACTCGCATTCTGGCCATCGGAAATTGTCCAGGAATCCTGCCATGGCTTTAATGCTTAGGTTTTTCTTCCTTATCAGTACTCTTTCATTAATTTTTCATTAATCATGGAGTCCTAAATACTTAAAACATGGCCAAAAAGTTTAGGAGTATCATCACTTTTTTATTACTAAAAAAATTTGTCGACACATTTGCTAATAGCAGAAAGCTTGAAAAAGTGTCCTTTCTCCAAACAAGTTTGGTCAAATTTAGGTTACACAAGACCAACCTAAACAAAAAACCAAATGAACCTCCCAATCCAAACACTGAAGAATGACTTTAGATTAATTTTAATTGGTCTTCAGAGGAGAACATTCATTAGGTTAAAATCCTGATCCCAGTTTTAGTCTAGAACTCCAGATATTATGGAAAGCACTGAAGCAGTCCATAAATGGTTGCAGTCGATCATAATTTCAAAATGAACACACTGCTCCACAAGTAAAAATGTGGTTTTAAAAAAATACAGGTATATATCCAAAATTCAGCTTTAAGTACTTATTTGGGTCCAAGATTTGGCTCTTACCTGCAGTGATGCACAATGCACGAACTATGATTTAGGCTAGAACTATAGAACTCTGTACTACAGGCAACCCCTGCTTAACGCTGTTTTGCTTAGCGCTATTTCACTATAACGCTCATTTTAAATTGATGTTTGATTTCACTTAGCGCTCAGCAAGTTTCAGTATAATGCTCGTGGTCGCCATCTTGGGTCATTGAAAACAATTGTGGTTGCCATCTAGGGTTGTCAAATACTTTCGGTTTCACTTAACTCTCATTTCGCTTAATGCTCGGTTTTTCAAGAACCAATTAAGAACACTAAGTGGGGGGTGCCTGTTTAGCCCAGAAAAAGTTATGGAAGAATACAACAAATAACTATCACAAAATAAATTGACACTAGGATCTACACAACTCTCAGCGATATATAAAGATACATAGCCAAGTTAGGTAACTCCCAATAATTCCTCCCAGGGAGGTCTGCTCACAATCCAAAGGAAAAGTGAAATCTAGATTTCTTCCCTACACTTGGCTTGTTGTAAACTTCAGTGTCTTTGAAGTTCGTATCTGTTAATATTTTATAAGTTTTAGAAGCTGTGTGGTATGAATGATTCATATTTCTGATGCAAGACTGTCTGTGTCAGTAATACTTTGCATTTAGAAATAAATCTCTTGCGACATTACCTTGCCTGCTTATATATAAAAGCCAAGAAATCATACAAGTTCTTTATATTCAAGTTCAATAAAGGTACAGTGTTTGATACATCTTTCCCATAAGGTTAAAAGCACTATAAACCCCAGGTTTTCCTGGGTTTTTTAAATTCATCCTGACACAGAAATTGCACTAAACATATTGTATGCAACTGGCATACTATGAATATTTTCTCTCTCACAAGAGCAGTAAAGGCAGCTGTTAAAGAGTTGGGGCTTGAAAATTTACCAAATGCCTGCTTGGCAAAAGAATTAAATCTCCTAGTTATATATCAGTACTAAAGATGAACCCTTTAAATGATTATTACTTCTTTCCTCCCATAGCATATACCCCCCAAGATGAGCAAAAGGATGCTGAGGTTCTTAATTCTGTCCCCAGCCTTGAGCTTCTCCCCATGGTTAGTAAACGTATAACCTGATAAATGTGAAGATGCTCCTACACCCATCTGGCAATTGGAAGGGAGGAGGTGAATCACTTCAAAAACCAAAACCACAAATCTCCTGGCTTGCAAGGCGTATCAACTACATTAGCTTTTTTCCAGTCAGCTGGCTGTTCCAGCTTCACCAGCTTTCCCTATCCCCTCCTCAGCTGTGAATACCATAGTGCCTCATTAAACTGTGGTTTACAACTTTCCCAAGCAGCAAGTGTGAAATTTATACAATTACTTTTTTTCATTGATAGATGTCATTCTCAAGATCAGCAACAGCAAACAGTATTATTAATTTTACATTTTGCCAGAATAAACAGTACTGAGAAATATTTAGGATATGAACTCCACACATACCTCCTGGAGCTAATCTTTTTGGCAAGTGTGCCACAAATTAGCTCAGTACCCTCACTGAGTGCCATTCCCACCCCCTTCCCCTGGATGACCTACTGCTCTCCTTTCTGCCCCCTGCTCGATCTGCTACTCCGCTTTCTACTTCCTGCCCTATCTTCCCTACTGCGCTGCCTGTCCCCTTCCCAATCTGCCACATACCACATGCCACAGGCTGCCCATGCCACTCGTGGCACGTGCCGTAGGCTGGCCGCCCCTGTTCTATGCTATCTTTAGTCATGTACACCTAGTAAACTCATTATTTTGACCACAATTACACTTTCAATAATTGTCAAACTGAAAATCAGTTTCTACATTACAATTAGCATGCCGAGTCATGAAAATAAATGCCAACCAAGGAAAGTTTGAGCAGATGTTTTGAAAAGCAAAAAAGTTGATAAAACATCTAGAAGCACCTACAGACTATTATTCTATAAATCAGAGATGCATAAGCTTTCATGAGCCCAAGCTCATTTATCAAATGCCATCAATCCCAGCCATTCACTCTCTTCAGAGCAAGAAACTTGCTCGATTTTGAAAGGTTTCTAAAAAATAAGCGAAAAAATAAGATTGCTATCAGACTCCTTCCTTACAACAACATTGCCAAAGCATTACAGGAAATATTAATATTACTGTTCTCTTGCTATAGCGTATATTAGTTTCCTGAAAGGATTCAATATATCCCGCCTGCAAAATTCTTCCTTTTGAGATGTCAGACTGTCATAATATTTAAAATAGCTTCAATACATTTGGTAATCTGATCTGCTTCCAACTGAGGTTTTAACTTTCATCACTATACTGGCTTATTAGGAGAGTTTATTCTCTCATTAAAACGTGACCTGTTAGATTTTCAGATTACTTCAAAAATCTGTTTAGTAGCAAATTTTGCATAAAGTCAGTTCTTTTTTTAAATTTTAAGTCTAGGAGGCCAAAGCATAATGCTTTTTACTATGACTCAGGTGAAAATATAGCCTTTATTTTTCTAACCCAGATTTATGTGGATTTATAATATCAGAGCAACTGGCATGCATTAACCCTAGTAAAAACTTTCATAACTCTAGTACCATATCTACTCAAATCCAAGATGAGGTTTTTTTCCCCCCTTACCCAATCAGGCTGGGGGAAAAAAAGTCTTGCTTTGGATTCAAGTACCAGCCCAAGGCATGTGGCAAGTTAGCTCTGGCTTTGGCCCTGGGCTTGGGGCTGAAGCCTGGGGCTGAGCTGCTGCCTGCCCCAGTCTGGAATGGCTCATTTAGCAGGGGAGAAGGCACATGGCTGGGGAGAGAGCAGGGGACAACACGAAGTGGAGGGGAGGAGGGACCTACAGCCCTCCCCTGCCCTGCAGCCTGGCTCCCAACTCCTTACTCCCCTCTCTGCACCTGCCCCCTACCCCCTTATTTTCTACTCCAGCTCCAGTCCAGCCAGGAGCTAACACTGCTTTCATCTGGCTGTGGGGTAAGCTGAGGCCACACTGTTACTGACCACCCTGGAGCAGAAACAGAGCTACAACAGAAGATAACAGGGGGGAACAGCACAGGAGGCAAAGGTGAGGGGCAGACAGCAGTGGGGAACATGGCAGAGAGGTGCCTGGCAGTGGGTAAGCAGCAAAGGGGGGTGGGGGGGAGGAGTGGGGCAGCACGTGGAGGACAGGTACACAGGACAAGGGGAAGGGGCCTTGCTCCTCACCCCAGCCATGGCAGTGAGGGGATGAATTTAAGACACCCTTCCACTAATTAGATTCTTTACATGGAAAATTGTAACAAATTTATAATTTTCCATGTGTAAAATCTTATTAGTGGGGGGACAGTCTTAAATTGGAAGTCATTTTGGATTTGGGTAAATACGGAATTTCAGTGATAACAGAAATTATACAGTGCATGCTTGAAAAAAAAATGTTTATTATTAAACACTTAAAAAGAGTTAAGCACTAGGTCAGTGATGCCTGGCTCCTTTTAATTTTTTAGGATTCAGAGGTGAACAGAGTAAGCATTTTTTTATTAATGTATTTTGTGTTCCAGGTCAAATTAGCCAAATCAGTTCCAAATCATATCGATTGAGCAGAATGCAACTGTTCCACTATGTACGGTGCTACAACCAGCAAGTATCCTCTGTCCCAGCCTCTAGAGGCACCCTGGGACTTAGGATGCCTGCCAATGGATTTGGGAGCATCCTATGTGCAGGCCCAATCCCAGAGGTCCTGGGATTTGGATGCCCCCAAAAAGTACAGGCAAGCATCCTCCATCCCAGACTCTTTAGTCTGGGACTTCAGGTACTATGAGCACCTACACTATCATAAAAGGACAACAGATAACACAATCCCCTAAACCAGGGTAACTCCACCAAATCTGGTGGGGAAATATTCCAAAAAGACTAAGGCACAGAATTCTACTGGCATAAATTACATAGTTTAGATGTCTCTCCAAGATTGTTCAGAGATAAACTGTTTGCTAAATACAAGCAAGCAAAATACCTGTCCTTCCTACTGCCCCATGGCATGGTGTCTCATACCCCAGGGCAGCTACATAGCTGTTCATTACTGATCTCAATGTAATAGTTAGTTTCATAGTTGGTAGGGTTGGAAGGGACCTGAGCAGATCATCAAGTCCGACCCCCTGCCATGGGCAGGAAAGGATGCTGGAGTCAAATGACCCTGGCAAGGTGTCCATCTAGCCTCCTTTTGAAGACCCCCAGAGTAGGAGCAAGCACCACTTCCCTTGAAAGTTGGTTCCAGATCCTAGCTGCCCTGACTGTGAAGTAGTGCTTCCTGATGTCTAGCCTGAATCTACCCTCCGTCAATTTATGGCTGTTATTCCTTGTTACTCCCAGTAGTGCTCGGGGGAACAGGGACTCTCCCATTGTCTGCTGGTCTCCCTTGGCCAGTTTATAGACAGCCACCAGATCCCCTCCCAGCCTTCTCTGGCGGAGGCTGAACAGGTCCAGGTCCTGTAGCCTCTCCTCGTAGGGCGTGCCCTGCTTCCCCCGATCATGCAAGTTGCCCTCCTCTGGACCCTCTCAATGCTGTCCACATCCCTCCTGAAGTGTGGCGCCCAGAACTGGATGCAGTACTCCAACTGTGGCCTGACCAATGTCATATAGAGGGGGAGAATCACCTCCTTGAACCTGCTTGTGATGCATCTGTGGATGTATGACAAGGTGCGGCTAGCCTTCCTGACTGCGTCCCCACATTGGCAGCCCATGTTCATCTTGGAGTCTATAATGACTCCAAGATCCTTTTCTGCCTTTGTGCTGACAAGAAGGGAGTCATGTACATTATATTTGCATACAGATGTAAATTACAATAAGTACCTGAACATCTATCCACACCACTAGTTTTCAGTCACAGTGGAGGCAAGCCAAAAAAGCTGCTGCCTCATTCTCCCTGCAAATCTAACAAATTGCAAAACTATCTTCTGGCATTGCACTTTGTTTCCCTTTATCAGAAAGTGCATTCCTTCCTTGTACCTAGTACTGGCTCTGAAATCTGTGTATTGTTTTAACCTTATCTTACAGCCCAGATAAATGGTGGAGCATTTAAGGTGAGCTGATCAGAAAGAATACCAGCAGGTGGTACATTTTTGGAGCAAAAGTTTGTAATTGTTAACCTATCTTCCTACTTCAATAGAACCAGAAGATAAATATGAAAAAAAATAAGTAATAGAGAATTCACCAATGATGGAAAAAAAAAAAGAGCAAGTAAAGCAGGAGTCTAACTTTGGATATTTGTTCTGACTTCACAGTGTCAACTTAATCTTGGGTGTCTATTCTGTATCTCTACAACGTAATCCTCACTATCTACTCCAGCATTCAGTGTCGCTGTAGGAGAGTAAATGAGCTCCTTCTATTGCCCTTTCTTCATATAGCTACTTGAAAAACTACCTTGGGCTACCAAGATAGTATTGTAGAATACTGATTGAAAGCACCAACAATTTGGTGGTACCAAGTACTGTATTTGTAAACTACTGACTGATGGTTCCAAGAATTAAAGAGATCTCATACTTTCCTGCAAAACGGGCATCAGACTCCAGTTAGAGCTTCAACTACCTTTAAAATTGGTTAATTCTACTGTATATGCACATAACTAAACACCAGAGATACTCATACACAGTTCTTAAACAGAATTTTGTTTTTCAACACCCCATGAGGAAGGAAGCAAATTATTATTGCCTTTAAAAAAAAAATAAGGCTGTAAAGGTTAAAAGACTTCTCCAAAAAAATCACATTAGCAAGTATAACTCAGATTCACATGCAGGTTTTAGGGCCAGTATCCTTTGCCATATATAAAGAAAAACCGTTGATGTATGGTTAGGTATGTTTTTATCTTGGCAGGCTTACAAGCTGGGAGTGTTGGAGCCTGTAATCAGCAAGCTGGGAGCATAATTGGCAAGCTGGGAGCACTGGTTAGAACCCAGACTCTCGCTTACTGTTCACTGAACCCTGTATACTTTGCAATGGGAATGGTAGTGTAAGAGTGATGTTATAGCACCAATGGTCCAGAAATTAAAGCAAGAGGCAAGGATTTCTTAACTGGTCCAATACAAGACATCACCCTAATAAATCCTTGCAGTGAGAATGCAGGCAGGTTGCCCGAGTTCTGGTAGCCCTTGCCCGCCCT